AAAACAGACCAAAAATGTAAAGCTTTGAACTTTTGGGCAAATGACATAGTTTATAGAATGACTATATATACAGGTTAAGTCTTTTACATATAGTTTTTAGTTGTCTTTGGCTGTGCTGAATTTTTGTTGCTGCAGGCGGGCTTCCCTAGTAGTGACGAGCTGGGGCTGCTCTCTGTTGTGGCGCATGGGGCTCCGTGCTGGTGGCGCACAGGCTGAGTCAGTCTGCAGCAGGGGCATCTTCCAGACCAGGGTCACCTGTGTTGCAAGGCGGACTTCAATCACTAGACCACCGGGGAAGCCAGGGTTAAGTCTTTAAAAAGATAATTGCCTTCATCTTTAAGTCTCCACTTTTTCAACTGTCTTTATTATTCCTAATTTTGCACTTGATTTTCAGCAGTTCCAGCCTGAGCTGATGAATTCAGTTTTTTCCACTGTTCTCCCCCTACTGGAATACTCATGTATCCATAACAGGCCAGAAGGTATTTCATTAGAGGGAGCACAGTTAAGGAGAGGCCTGGCCTGGGCATACCCCTTATGCAGAAGAGAGCCCTGGCTCTGTCTGGAAAAGAAAAAAGGAAAGAGAGAGATGTGGTCAGAGAAGGGAGAAAGGATGTAAACAAAGGCACAGCCAATTTTAGAAGAAACCCACAGCAACACATTCCTAATTCAGTAGTTCCAAGTTTCTTGTTACTCAAATGATTGCAGTCCTTTGGGGTTGATGATGGAGAATCTCTGTTATCAACCCTGTAATTTGCACACATAAATATACTGTAGTTGCTGGTTTTCAGGTTTATTAAAATGTTGTATTGGGACTAGTGGTTCTTTCCAAACAAAAAGGCTGGTCATGTGGGGTCTTGCATCTTAGAAAAGTTTTAGACAGTTTCAGCCGTTTTATATTAAACTGGATTTAAAGATTGTTTTGTTGTTTTGTTTTGCATTTAGTGATGCCTTTGGCCTTTGAACAAAGCATTTTACAAGTGAATCTGCTGTGCAGAGAATCCTTTTTGTAAAGAGAGACCTTGTTACCCTTGGCACCTACTGGGAACATCCCTAAATTTGGATGGTGAAGTAAGGCCACCTTTTAAATACATCCCTGGAAGGGATGAAATGCTCAAAACTTGGCAGCGTTTCACTTCTGACGGCCTAGTTCTTAAGCCACATACAGTCTAATTGGTGGTGACAGCCTTTTCCATAAGAGCATTTTGATGAATTAAAAAAACTTCTCCTACTTCTCATGTCCTCAGTGAAATTACTGTGTTGTGTTCAACCTGGTGCCTTACAGAGTGCCTGATGCGTGGTAGGTAAGCAGAACCTGTTTGATGAGTTTGACTCTTCATTACTCAAACCTTATAAAACCTATCATTTATCTGTGCAGACAGATACTAAAGATCTTCAGAACTCTAAGACAGCGTAAGAAGTATACTGGTAGGGGAATTGATTGATAGCATACAAGGAACACTGTTATATGAAAATAATAATAATAAATGAATGTAAATTGTATTGCTCATGGTTTTACATATTTTTTGGGTGCAGAAGAGGGCTATTTAGGTAAGAAGTCATCAGGTCATCCTTATTATCAAACCAAGTTTTTGAATTTCTGTTGTAATCTTGGTTATAGGGAATGTCCTTGATATAAGAACACTTTTTAAATGTTGCCTAAATTTGAGTTTCAGAGCACTGTACTTTTCTCAGCTAGCAGTTTTGGCTTTTGTTGGTTACTCATTCAAACTATTGAGAAACCCAAACCAACTCTGGATATCAGAAGCTGCATGTTCTAGAAGGAGTTAGGACTTTTCATGGGTGAAGAGAATGTGGTAAAAGTCATTGGCTGCAGGAAAAGAGAGATGGCCAGGAATTGCCTGTCATTCTCTTGGTGATCACAACTTCAACTTGGTAATGCAGTTCTCAGATAAGAATTTATCTGAATTGCTCAGTGTGATATAAGATACTTGTTTATAGTGTTTGTTTTGTCTTTTGTGCTTTCCATGTATCTTTTCATGCAGTCCTCAGAAGGAACCTGGCTTTATCTCTGTTTTACAGGTTAGGAAACTGATGGTCCAAGTAAGTTAGGCGACTGGCTTACATTACATAGTTTGTAAGTGAAAGAGCCACTATATGAACCCAGAAAAAATTCATAGGGACTGGCTCCAGAGCCCTCCCTTGTTTTCCTCATCTGTAAATAGTAATACAACTCCTGCCTTACACAGTTGTGAATATTAATAGAGATAATGCAAAAAGTTACCTCCAACAATGCTTGGCACCTAGTAGGTACCCAATAATTGATAGCAGCTATTAGTAACAGTTTATCTTAATAACTATCATAATGCTAAGAGGATATTTAGCATTTTTTTATTTTAAGCCCTGTTTTGTTTTCTTTATTAAACCAGTCAAAAAGATGGGGGGAGGTATGAAACTGGAATAAGCATGGAAGTTGAAGTATTACAAATTGCCATATCGACCCCATACTAGTGAATGCTGAAGTGTTTTCACAGGTAAAAAGGGGGAAATCGAGCCCTATCTTGAGGAAGTAGGGCTGTATTCATGTTTGCCACTCTTCCCCTTATTTTTGTTTTCATCCTGTACTCTCAAAGATCGGAAGGGCTGAACTCAATAGGCAAACTCTGTTTGGAACCTACATACCTGGGTAGCCCTAAGCTTTTCTTTTTAATGGCAGCTCCAAATGCCATATACTTCAAATTTTTGTTTTTCTTAAATGTAGAATATTGCAAAATACAAAATAATCCATAAATTGTGTGCTTTAGTCGCAGAAAATCATTAAATTAGGGTTTTTTTTTTTAATGTATTTCTGTAATTCTACAGATTTTTCAGTGATTTGGATGAATGAAAAATTGAAGGTCTATGTTGGTGACATCAAGATTGAGGGCCTTTGTTACAAGTTAGGAACTGAACTACTAAGGAAATTATGTTTTACCTACACATTTTTTCTCATTGATCCTCTTCTGTTGGAAGTTAAAATTTTAGAAATGATTTTTTATCCTACCAATCATTTCTACTATTTTTGGTTATTCTTTTTTTTTTCCTTGCTTCTTAGATAAGGACAGGAAGCATCCATAACTTCACTTTTGGGAACTTTTGTTTGCATGTCATCCAGGAAAAAATTTACACACTTATTTCTAAATACTTTAAAAATAAATTCATATACATACGCAATTTTTAAATTTTCTTCCACTAAAGTCTTTAAATTTTGAACCTAAAATAAGCACTTTCCACAGGAGCCCTGGGTTGAGTTTAGGATGCAATAACGTTTCATTATTTTTTACTCTTCTTTAGATATCTTTATATTTCTGAGAGTTGGACTTTGTTCCTTTTGCAGCTAAGTTGGCCACCTCTGTGACATCAGATGTTCCAGATTAAAAAAAACCATGAATAATAATTTTAAAAGATGAATAAGCCTGCTTTTTTCCCATCTAAAGAATGCCCTTCTAAGTAAGCAGCCTCAGGAGTGTGCCTCAGGAGTACGGATATTATTGCTATGTGAAACATGCTGATTAAAATCATTGTTTCTGTCTCAGGCTGCAGATTTTTCACATCAGTTTTAAGTAACAGTAATGCTAAGAACACTTAATAAAAAGCGCTTGATATGGTCTGCTACTGTTTCAGGTACTTCAGGTGCTTTAGTTCATTAAGTAGCCCTTTATTTTACCGTCTTTACCCATCACTTGAACAAGAGCTTTGCGCGCAACGTGTGTATTGCAGAAGGGTGCTAAGTTTTGTGGGCCAGTGCTTAATTGAGTGAAAAATATCTAACAGAAAACAGTATTTTCTAGGAATGCTGTACATTCACCTAAGCCCTAGCTTCTTGCCCTGCCCAGGCAAAGAAATCATAACGAGGGAGGGAGAGACCAACAGTTTGAATTAAAACTAATTAGACTTGGGGGTGGTGAGGAGGGGATGGGGGTGGTAGTGAATGAATCACTTCCAGGAGCATAGGAAAGGGAAATATAGAAATTTGGAGCCGTGTCTCTGAAACATGTAAACGGATTCGCCTCGGTTTCTCTCCCACTGCATCTTACACGGATTTCATGGTCTCCTCTTTGCTGAACGAGCTCAAGTCGCCCGGGAGCACGCGCTGATCCCCCGTGGTGGGCTTCGGGCCGACACCTGGGATAGCACCTGGGCTGCATTTCCTCGCCTGCCAGTGGTTTCCTCCGCGCTAGGCGTCCGCTCAGCGGCGGCTTCCCATTCATGCTTTTGACAGCCGCGCGGCCGCTCGCGAGCTGAGAGCGAAGAGCTCCTTGAACCCGCCCCTGCTCTTCGGATCGGACCCGGGCGGGAAGGCCCGACAGCTACGCCGCCCGCTGGTGCCCCGGGGCCGGCCGGCCGGCCGGTTCTTCCATAGGTGGCTGCGTTTCCGACTTCGCCCTGGCTCCACTCCGGGGGCTTGACGTGCAAACTTCGCCCGAGCGAGCTGAGAGGGAGGGACCGGCGAGGGGGAGGAGGCGGCGGGAGGCGCCTCCGCTTAAGGGAGCCGGCCGGGCGCCGCCGCTCGGACGGACGCGCGGACGGAAGGAAGGAGCGGGGCCGCCGGGCCCGGCCCGGGGATGCGAGCGGCCTCAGGGTGGGCAACCTGGGGGCCCCGGGGTGCGTCTCGGGCCTCCCCGCCGTGGGCCGCCGCGGCGAGGCGCGGGGCTGAGGCGGGGGCAGCTCTGGGCGCCGGCCTCCGCGCCGGGTGTCCGCGGCGGAGGCAGGCTGGGGACCCTACGCCGCGGTGGCGGGCCGCCGGCTCTCGTCCCCTCCCCCGAGGGGCACTGGAGTCGAAAGCGAAAGCGAGCCCGCCCCGCGGACTTTGCGCCCAAGGCGGGGGTTGGGGGGGGGTTGGAGGAGGAGAGCTGGGGGTCTGGGCGGCCGGGGGCGCTGTCAGCGCGCCCCACCCGGCCCGCGGGCCGCGCACGCCGCCGGAACTCCCTGGCGCCTCCTTAAAAGCAGCCCCCGCGCGACTCTTTTCCCCCTTTTTTTGTTACATTGTAGGAGCGGAAAGAATGTCGGAGCGGGCCGCGGATGACGTCAGGGGGGAGCCGCGCCGAACGGCGGCGGCGGCGGCGGGCGGAGCAGCGGCCGCGGCCGCCCGGCAGCAGCAGCAGCAGCCTTCGCAGCCCCAGCGGCAGCCGCCGCCGCCGCGGCGCCTACGGCCGGAGGACAGTGGCCCTGGCGCCGCCTCCACCTCGGCCGCCGCCGCAATGGCGACCGTCGGGGAACGCCGGCCCCTGCCGAGTCCCGAAGCGATGCTGGGACAGTCGTGGAATCTGTGGGTCGAAGCTTCCAAACTTCCTGGGAAGGACGGTGAGTGTCCACGCCCTCCTCTTCCTCTCGCAGCCCCCATCCCCCCCATCCTCAGACCGTTCTCCCCTCCCCCGTCCCATGGCCCGCCCCCTCGGGGGTCAGAGATGCTATCGCCGGGCTGGGGAACGCGGAGGTGCCCGCACCTACTCCGTGCGTGCGTGAGCGTGCGTCACACTCTCGGCAACTGACCTGCCTCTCCCCTCCTCCTGTGTGTGTGTATCTCCTAGGGACGGAATTGGACGAAAGTTTCAAGGAGTTTGGGAAAAACCGCGAAGTCATGGGGCTCTGTCGCGAAGGTGAGTCCAGCCCCCTGATGGAGTTTGTACAAGTCCAGGGGAAGTGTCCTGGCCGGCTGACCAGGGCTGTAGCTTGAGCCCACCTGAGCCACTCCGCTCCTCCCACGCGAGGATGCTGTCTGATGAAAGGGGAGGATGGAGCGTTGGGAAAATCCGGTTTCCTGGGGCTTCGTGTATCCGGGGGCATCCAGAGCCCTTCAGTGGAGGCCTGGCTGGGTGGTTTAAGCAGCATTGCTTAGTGATGAACGCTGGGACCAGCAGTGAGTTTAACCCACATCTCTTCAGGTCTGACCCCTTATGGAGAAACGCGAGGAGTGGAGGGAGGAATTCTCAGCTTCCAAAAGCTTCTCCACGAACGTCTTAGGGGGTTCTGGAAAGGACACCTTGCCACCTGTAATTGTCTGCCAGCAATAAAAATGAATTTTTAAAAAGACGGCACTTTACCTGTACAGCCTATTTCCATAGGATTTATGTTACAAAGGTTCATCAAAAGGATCATCACAACCAAGGAGCTGTTGGTCGGATTTTTTGTTTTCTTTTTTGTATTTTTATGAAGGTGCCAAAATCAGCCGGGCGGGGGGGCCGGGTGGGGGTCGGGTCACAGAATTTTATCTGGTGAAACAAGCCTTTGGTGCGCTTAGGTAGTGAAATCAAAGTCTAATTATTGGCCAGTTTTTAATAAAAACTGTTTGGTAGAAGTAAATAACTGTAACTAAACGTGGATCTCTAAATGAAGGATATCTAGGAGCTGTCAGACTTTTACTTCAGGTTATCTTTTTCTTCCAACAGTCCCCTTTGCTGTCTGAGGCCTGTGTCGATCCTGGGCACATGGTGGTCAGAAAGGACTAAAGGAGTCCAGTCATCTCTAGACTGAGTTCAGGCTGTTCCTTCAGTAGTAGTATGGACAAGGACTTAAGTGAGGTTCGGTATCCAAAATATTGAGTTTATATTCCCAGGGCAACTTTATTTCTCAGTGTGGCCATTTATTTTGGCATTGTTATTGTCAAGGGCCCAAGAATAGGTACAGCTGTGGCAACTGAAACATTTTAAAGTCCAGAGTTGGCCCATTGTTACTCTGTCTCCACACTTCTTGGTTTTAGTGCCTGTCTTGTCTACATGTTCACAGTTTTGGTTTTTTGAGCTAGCTTTTTGTTTGCCTCTTGGCACTCGGGAAGAGTAATACCAGTGGCAACTTTCTGAGAGCTTCCAATTGGAGCAGATTAGAGAGCAAATTAGTTGATTTTGCGAATGAGAATTGCTGTTTGAGAGCAAAGGAAAGGAGGGAAAGCACAGGACTTGCTGGCGGTGTTGCAATAGGAAAAATCAGTTGTTAGTCCGGTTTTAGTGTTGAATTGGCAGCCTGCCTGGGCTTAAAAAATTAAAATCACTAGGTGGTAACTCTCCTTGGAAGCAGTTGGAATAGAGCTTTAGAGGACCTGACCCGCTCCTGTTCTTAGTTTTTCTTCCCTGGGTGTGGATATATTTTCCACAAAGAGTTTCTAAATCTGTGTGAAAACAGGGTGCTAATTATTGGTAATTCCCCTATAGAGGTTGAGTATGTTTGTTTGTATTTCACTGCACTACTTGGTCTGGATTGAGACCCAACCAAATGTAGTTGCCTGGACCCACTTTTTGCTGTATTTATTATTTTCTCTTTGGGCATAGTCATTAGTGTATTTTACCAGAAAAGATCTAGGACCTCTTAATTCCTGTCTTGAGGCACAAAGGGATCATAAATTTGGTTCTCTGTGCTTCTGACCTATCAAATTATTAGTGGCTATAAGTGGTACCATTTTTTTTCCTAAACTGCTCTAACTGTTCAGAAGATGCTAAAGCAGCCAGGGTGGCTGAATTTCTGCCTCCCAGTTTTAAGTAGAGACTGAAGTTTCTAATTCAGTCAATTTTCGATTCATTTGTGACTTTGTGGATTTTCTGGGATAAGTATAAGGATGTCCAGCACTTTAGACAGTGGGCCTTTGTTTTTCTAACAAATAGTTCATGTCAGGCTGTTTAAGAATGAAAATACATTTTAAAATTATCAGACACTTATCCTTTGTCTTTGAGACTATCTCCTACCAAGGAAAAAGTGTTTTGGAGTTAAATTCTTACTAATTCTTCTTGTCAACAAAGTTAAGTTGAAAAGAAATATGTAGATAAATTGATACTATGAATGACGTATTAAGTCAGAAACTCCTTGTCTTGGAAGATATTTAGGAATATTGACCAGACTTTGAATTCTCCAGTTTATGATTGTGCACCTAAGAGTTAGAAACCTGGGTTTGAAGTTGCTAAACATTGCATTTCAGCTTTCAGAATCTAAATTCCTCTTTGTCAAAGGAGATGATAATACCTACTTCCCATGGAGGTTGTAAGGGTTGAAATTAAATTAGATAATGGAAAATGACTCTGTACTGACTACTTCCTTTCAACCCTTTCAGCTGCTGATAATCTTAGGCCTGATCTCCTAATTTGGTATTTATCTAGGTCAGAAAATTTTAACCTGGGGCTTGAATTGGCTTCAGGGGGTTATGGTTGCCCTGAAATTGTATGCAAAATAGTATGTTATGTCCACTTAGGAGGGCAGGTATCCCCAGCTTTTCTTGGGTTCTCAAAAATTGTTCACTTAATCTCTACCTTCAAAATTTCTAAGTTAGAATCTCTCTTTTTTTTCTTTTCCTCTCTATTGGCTCTTGTAGTTTATTTTGTCCAATTCTTTCATGATGAGTGTGCCCAAGAGTTAATGCTGTGGGAGAGGTTGGGACTGTTGACTTAGGTGGGACTGAGATTATCTGTGGTTTAACAACTGTGTCATCCCCCTGTTTTCCTATTAGCACAGGTAGATAAATGTTAGGATAAAATATCAGTTATCTTTCAGAGATCAGCCTGTTTATCATTTATATCATCAAATTTTTATTGCCTCGCTTGTTTTGTTCTGTAATATGTAATTTTATGGCACAGTTGGTTTTACTGGGATAAGATGGATAATACATGTTTAACTTTCAAAAGACTAAATGCAGAAAATTACTTTTTTCTTAAAGGTGGTTTTTGAAATTGTATAAATAAGATTAATTATGTTTAGACGAAATTAATTGGTATGAGTAACTGAGTAAGGTTTTCGTATTGGTACCTAAGCTTGTACCTAAGCTTGCTACCTAAGTCCTTAAATGTAAAAACATGAAATGCCTTCACTTGACAGCAAATTACAAATAAAACATTGTAGGAGTCAACAGTGAAAATAGAATGTTTTCTTTGGAAAGTCATTCCTAACTTTTCTTACGCCCACCGCTTGTACAGTATCAAAGTACCCCGTATTTTTCCTTTGTCTAAACTCTTCCTATCACCATATGAAGGCGTGTGTTATGTGATGGCTGTTTTATTAGAGTGCAGGCTGCTAGAGGACAGGGTTGTTATTGACGAAGCTCCTGCACATTGCTTGTGTTCAGTGAAGATTTGCCCACAAAATAAATGAACTGGGCTACTAGGAAGATTGAAAAGTTTAAGTGACCAACTTTCCATTGTATTGTGATTCAAAAAAAGGTATCTATTCTGTGTGGGGATGTGCTTTCTGGCCAGGGACTGTTGCTGAGCATTTCCTGTGTCTCTGACCTGAGTTTAGCACTCCATTTACACTTTTCCAGAAAGAGTGCAGGCAAGACACCACCTTTTTTATCACTGATATTTAGGCGAGTGAGTAGGAGGGTGACCTCGAGTGATATCCACAGTTGATGACAGGTGACCTGCCTGTCAAAATAACAGGGACCTAATTGAGCCTGGGTGAAGATGGAAGAGAGGTTGGTTGACACCTGCAGGGAGCTAGGTACCAAAGGAAAAAGAGAAACTAGGAAGGTAGGTAACCTTAATCAACACAGATTGAGTCAATGTACCACCTTTTTCTTTCCTGGGGATAAAAATTGTTCATAGTCAGGTGACTGAAAACAAACAGGTATCGGTGGGAAGGACTATTAAAATAACTGTGTTATAGACATAAAACCTCTCTGAAATAAAGAGCATCTCTATTTTTCTCTAGGGTTTCTCTTAATGCCACCCCCCCCAACTTTTCTGATGCACAATTTCAAATACACAGAAGTAGAGATAGTATTTTAATGAGCCTCCTGATGTCTTTCCCACAGCTCATGAGTCCCTGCCCAATCTTGTTTCATCTCTGCCACACTCCCCACACTGAAACATGTCTCAGACACCATATTTCTTTTGGTTTTTTTTTTAATGCTTGCATGGACTTCAGCTTCTCTCCTGACAAAATGGAGCCTTACTGCACTCTGCTCCTTCTTTTGAGGCAAGGCATGCTTCCATGAGCCTGAAAGGGTTCTGCAGGCAACAGGGCTTGCAGTCTGCTGATACCTTAAGTAGAGACCCAAAGTAAGCCTCAGACAGGAATCAGTGTGATCTGGGTTCACTGCCTCCGGATTGCACTCACACATTCAAGGAGGGCGGGTAATGGCATTGGAGTGCCCACACTTGACGTTCTGTGAATGAGCACTGTGGCTCCAGGAGGCAGTGTCCTTGCTCACAGTTCCTGCTTGTAACTCTCTGCCTATGAAGTCTGCACTAACCCAGGAGTGAGAGGGCCTGGGTAGACCTAGAGACACTCCTAAAGAAGGAATCTTTCCCCTGACCTTAGTATGGCCCCTTAGCTACGTCACTGCGGATTGCAGCCTCGCTAAGACTGCTTTTTTTTTTTCCTTTTTAAAGAATTGTGTTACTTATATTTATTTTTGCTGTGCTGGGTCTTCGGTGCTGTGCAGGCTTTTCTCTAGTTGTGTCAGGTGGAGGTAATGCGGGCTACGCAATACGGTGGCATCTCTTGCCGTGGAGCGTGGGCTCTAGGCAGGCGGGGTTCAGGAGTCGCAGCTCCCGGGGTCTAGAGCGCAGCTCGATAGATGAGGCACACAGGCTAGTTGCTCTGTGGCGTGCGGGGTCTTCCTGGGTCAGGGAGCCTGTGTCTCCTGCACTGGCAAGTGAATTCTTTACTACTGAGCCAC